GGCCCGTATTCCGTGGCACTCTCTTATTCTAAGGGATCTACATATAGGACTTTCAGAACATAGATATCCTGCCGAAAAAACCGAAAAGTGTAAGTAATTGGATCCTCGGGCAACCTTTAATTGCAAAGTCGGGAAGTTCACACAAACGGCAGGCAGCCTTGCACCCTAAACCCAAAGATCGAACACCTTGGAATGAGCTCTACGACCCTAGTTCCCAAATAGGCACCAGCATCCAAAACGCTGTACACCAAGTCCACCAAAATCCTCTGAGCGACTTAGACCCAACAGTCTAATACCCTAAACCGTAAACCTACACCGCAATACCCTGAACCCTAATACTCTAAGCCCTGGTCCCTAGTCCTCTCTACTGCAGACCTGAAACCTCTAAAGCCCGCAGCTCAGGTCTCGTGTAGGCATTGACATTGCCGACCTCGGCTGTTTGTCATTGGAGGAGTTTGGGTCTCGTTTGGGGCTTAGGGTTTAGGGAGTTTAGGGTTTTGGGAGTTTAGGGTCTGGGGTTTTGGCTTATGGTCTAAATCGGGTTCAGGGTTGAGGGTTGCTTGCAAGTTGCAGATGTTGAGACAGGTTTTTAATTTCATGTTTTGCTCTGACAGTTTGGCTTAAGTCCCCGAGCCCTAAACCGTAAGCTCTACACCACCCTAAACCCTAACCTCCTATCCCTAGACCCTAAAATGAAAAGTTTTCAGTCGAGGTTCAGAGCACGGGAACAGGATCGAGCTGCAGATCGAGAGCCTAAGAGCTGCTAAGACCAGGTGCATAGTGAAATAGTGATGATTGGAAGTCCCCTAAACTGGAGTCCCTTTAAACCCCCCCCCCCCCGAGCACTGCTACATCTTGCCACATCTGGGTGTTATAGCCCCCACTGCTGCCATCACGGTTTGGGCTTGAGGGTGAGCCTAAGGCCAGTTCGGCTTGATCTGTTTAGGGTTGCCCAGGAAGCATGCTTGTCTCCCCCGAGTAAGGATCAAAGCCGGACGCTGTTGCCATGTTTGTGGACCCTGGTGTCGTGTTGCCGACCCATGGCAAAAAAGCCTCATCAAACATCCTGAACCGAAGCCTGAATGTAGGTGCCTTTATTAATCAGTTTCAGCAGGGTCTTGGGGCATATTATAATACGAGTTGTAAGAAACCTTGAGGAATTTAACGGTTCTAAGCCTTTCTAAGCCCCAAGCTAACCAACCTCCCTGGAGGATGCAAACGCGACGCTGCAACAGCTACGGCAGCAGTTTCTCTCGGAAAGTTTGGTTTGGGGTCTGACTGCGTTTTGAGGAATGTAGTAAAAGATATATAAGGCTGAGGACCATAGCAAAGGATATCATCATATGATTTATGCTTCGCTATCTATGCCTACCAGGGCAACTGGCTCCTTAACTTCCTGCGGAGCTATGGTAACCCTAAAACCCTAATCCCTAAGCTCTATAAAGCCTAAGCCCTAAACGCTAAACCCTAAGCCTCTCAACCCAAGACAGCTTAATGCAGCCACCAAACTTCAAAACAAAAGGCCTTAATTGAACCTTAAACTCGAAAAGAGCCCGAAACCCCACGACTGATGAGAGGCCTGAGCCCTAAGCCCTAGACCCCAACAAACCCCTAAGCCCTATAGACTCCGAAACCCCTACATAGGTATATGGAAGGTGCAAGATCAAAGCTTCCTCTTCCATGGGATTTGGGGATCTGGTAGGCTAGGGGCGCAGATGAGGCTGCTCGGTTCGCAACCTCTGCAAAACCATACTCTTATAGGAGGGTGCCAGCTTTTTTGCCTGCGTGTTCAAGGACTCCTGTTGGTTTGAAGCGTTCTTGGGCTGCCTGTTCTATTTTTTTGTTGCTTCTCCTCAACACTTGTAACAGCTCAGATTGTCCGAACCGGCCAAAACAGCGGAGGCGCGGGACCCTACAAATAGCCTGCCCAAGTCTGCGAAGATCTCTACGCGCCTCTCAGACCCCAGCAACCGCAGAAGCCCCCGACGCAACGACGAACCGGTAATGCAGCACGAAATTGCCCAAACTCTCCAACAGTGACCCCGATCCCTAAATCCTGAACTCGATTCTACGCGCGGCTTCACAAGAAACCTAGAGCCTAAACCCCAAGAGCCTAAACCCTCTAGGCCCCTCAGCCGGAGGTTTGGAGAAGACCTAGACTTCATCGAGCTGGACGAGCAGCACCTGGGCCTCATCGAATCGATCGGTTTCAGCGCTCCGTTAAGGGGTTTCTTCAAAGTGCTCTACCAGGTCTACTCTAAACCCTAAACCGTCAAGGATTATATCACACCCTAAACCCTAAATCCTCAAGACCATCGTGCTTCGGAACTAGTTTAGATTTTGCTTCTTTCAGTTTTAGAGTCAAGGGCGCCAGGCCCTTTTGGTGCCCGGCTTTTTGAGTTTAGGGCCTTCTTGGCTTGAGGGCTATTGTGCTTCAGGGCGTTTAGGGCTGAGGGTTTAGGGTTTAGGGTTTCAGGGTCTAGGGTTTAGGGTTCAGGGTTTCAGGATTTTGGTCTTTACTATATGCACTTATTTGCATTTGTTGCTGGTTGTGCTTTGGTTTTGCTTTGGAGTGTCATCTTAGTTAGTCGTTTGTACTCGTCATGTGCTGGATGTGTGTTAGCTTGATCAGGCCTGATTATAAATATAGCGTCCAAATTTTGAGATTGGTTTTTGGTGGCTTTTGTGGTTTATGTTTCAGATAAGTATAGGGTTGGAGCGTTTTGCTTTTAGGGTGTATTGCGTTTCTTGCGGGGTTTTGGTTTGAGCGTCGTCGGGTTTTCGTTCAGAGTACCGTGTTTTGCAGGCATAGTGTTCCGGGGTTTGGGGTCTCTTGTATGTCTGGCATGAAGTTTATGAAGCGTGTGTTGAGGGTTGGAAGGGGCGGGGGAATCCTTGTAAACCGTTTGGGGTCCATAGCATCCCAAACTCAACCCTGTGCCAGCACCCCAAACCCAAACCACGAAACACAAGCCTAGCCCCCTAAACTGCAAAGCTGTGAACCCATATGCCAAAATACTGAAGCCCTAAACCCCGTCACCTTCTCCCGATCCGGCGACACACGAGACCTTGAAACTCTTACCCAATCAATATCTCCCCTGAAACAATTGGAATAGGGTTTCGAGGGTTCTCGTATGCTTAATCCGGTCCATGTCGGTACTTGCTGGGCATATCGTTGCTGGGTAGGCAGGGAGCGAGAGTTCTGTAGCCAGATTACTATGCCATGAACCTGCGCAGGATCTACAAGCCCCTACAGAGCTTGGCCGTCGTAGATCCCTTCTGGCCAACGCAACCCGGTGTCCGTTTCATATGCTGGCCTTCTCAAGATACCGGTTGAGTGATTTTGTGGATCTGGGCTTTTTTTCAGGCTGCCAAGGAATCTGCTAACGCATTTCGAAGGACCAGTACAGCAACCCTAGTTGCAAGCCTCTGAATCTGTAGGAAATGCTATCCCCTTCTGTCCGAATCCTAGGTAGCCGTACCAAAATCCATGGCCCAAACCTCTGGTCGAAGACAGGAGGAGGATTTCTGAGACAGCTCACTTGCAGAGGTAAATAATCCTTAAAGCCTGAACCCTAAACCCTAAACCTTTTTTCCTGTGGAACGCAGCAGCTTCGCCGCTTCAAGACCGACTCAGAGTCCCTATCCTAAACCCTAAACCCTA